CCCGACCTCAAAATTCATGTGAAATTGGGAAGGAGCCGCATTTGCAAAAACAATCACTTGGATAAAATTGACATATAGGGGAAGAAATCATGGGCCTTTGATTTGATTTTTTTCTTTTTCTTTTATTCTTTTCTTTTCTCTCTTTTTTCTTTTCTTCTTCAAAAACATGCTTACAAAAGAGTCCACTCGATTCAACCCTAACCTTAACCTTCCACAGGAACAGAATGAATACCATCCAGGATCCGCCAGAAGTGGTCAGGGAACATGCTCAGTTGCACTTGCGTATGTGGTGGAATGATCTAGATGAAGATGGTCAGAAATGGGTGAAAAAGCAATTGAGTGCTCTTATAAACATTTTTGAATCAAATCACGGGAAGATCTGATCAAGGCTTTGGTAACTTTCTGGGATCTTGTCCACAATGTCTTTTGTTTCTCGAATTTTGAGATCACCCCTACTTTGGAGGAGATAGCCGGGTACATTGAATTCAGACGGGATTTGAGGAAGCAACAACTTATATTTCCAAGGGCTCCATCGGTGCACAAGTTCTTTGACCTCCTGAATATCAGTAAACAGACGAATAAAGAACGTGTGAGCAATGGGTGTTGTGCTTTCCATTTCTTATACTTCAGGTTCGGGCACTCTGTTGGTTTTGAAACACATGAAAAGGGTATGAGCAACAAACAAGACAAGGGCCTTTGTCAAATTCATCGTCGGTTCGCATTTATTGTGGCATTCATGGGGATCATGGTTGTTCCAAATGAGAAAGGGGCGGTGGATATTCGTATGGCTAGAATTGCACAAATCCTCACTACCAAGGAAGATCATACACTTGCCCCTGTTGGTGCTGGCAGATATTTATCGAGCATTGACTTTATGCAAAGTAGGGGCTCAATTTTTTGAAGGTTGCAGCATCCTTCTGCAAATGTGGTTGATCGAGCACCTTCGCCATCATCCCAGATTCATGAGTTATGGTTCAAGCCCGAATAACTTCATTACTAGTTACGAGGAGAGGGTAAAAGATTACAACACACCAGAAGGGTTTGAAGCATGGGTCTCTCACTTGAAAGTTCTTAACGCAGGTCAGGTTGAATGGACTATAGGATAGCTCCCGAGGACAGAAGCCATCTATATGACTGCTATCAAAGTCTACCTGAGGTTAATAGGCGTAATGAGTATTCAGCCATATGCACCGCAGAGGGTCTTGAGGCAATTAGGAAGGTATTAGATTGTGCCTGAAAATGAAGATCTAAGCACCCAGGTCATAGAGTTACATCCAGAAGCTGCATTGCCTGAGGCTATAGTTCAGCAGGATTGGAATAGCTGCCGGTATCTAAAAAATGGCACCTAGGTACCAGACATCGCCAAGGGGGAAGTAGATCTAAACTATGCTGCTTGGTTTGAGAAAATGTCTTATGTAAATAACAAGTCAGGGCCTGAGAGGCCTGCCAAAAGGCCTCATGTTCAAGCCTTTGATGATAAAATTCAGGAGAGGTTAGCCTGGGGGGAGAAGGAAAAGGAATATAAGGCCATCATCCATGATCTACGAGAAGAGTTGAGAAATGTCACCTTCAACAATGATTTACAGGCACAAGAGGTCGAAGGTGAGAGGAGAAGATTGGTGCGAGAAAATGAAGCTCTCATAGCTCAGGTTCGATAGTTGAAAATTGAAGCCGAGAACCCAGGCCGAAGCAGGAAAGATGAAAGGCTCATTTATAACCTTACTCAAAAGGTACGTGACTATGAAGATGACCTGCAGAAGCTGAGTCCGAACTAGCAAAATCACAGGTAAGGTTGGCTAAAAGCGCCGAAAGGCGTGCAACTTTCC